ATGATATTTTTCAGATATTTAAACAATATAATTTCATATAATATATAATATATAATTTATACTATACTATCAAATTAATATTATTAGGCTTGTACTAATAAGTTTTATGATGCATGATGAAATAAACAAAACCTCAATCTAGATTCATGCTCAAAGCCATAGTTAGCAAAGTATAGAAAATTGCATACTAATTTTCTTTTATAAGTAAATAAATAATTGAAGGTAGAAATTTTATTTTTTGGTAGTTGTTATTGATAAGTTTAAATAATTTCTCAATGGTAAACTAAATTTTATTTAATAATTTTATTAAAAATTATTCAACACTAAATGCAATTTTTGTACACAGCCCATACACCAATTTAATTCTTACTGTGAAATTAAATTTTCTTTTGAGTACATTGCTAATGAATCAATTTAATTATATTATACACATTGAATACCAGTACCATATTTTTATTTTAAAGAGGTTGATGCATCACTGTCATATTACAAAACAACTTCTGTTGAAACTGAAAGAGACAAAAAGCTATGTATCATTTTTCATTCCAAATAAATATTTCGGACCGGTAACAGGCTGTCCACGAATTACCGGTTGTTGCCGGTTTGCTTTTTGACCGGCTGTCGGTGGCACGTGCATTAATTGGAAATGCACCCTATCATTCTTCTAATTACAACACTGCCACATTCGGTGAACCGTTAAGTAATTTTTTTTACACCATTTTTAATTTTCTCCTTTCCTTTAAAAAACGTTTGATACGAGAAATATATTTTTTTTAGTGAGAAAAAAAAATTGTTAGGAATTTGATAAGAATCTTTTTATCTTAGATAAGTTACAAAAAAACATATTTGGTTGATCAAAATTTTGCAGGAAAAGTTGAATTAATTTTACTAATGCTATATTTGATTAATGTAAAATATTGATAGAAATATGAATGAAATTATCAAAATACCTTTAATTTTTTCAATATGCCAAGTGAGTCATAATCAAATGTTGCTTTTTTTTTTTGAAAAAAAGTGAATCAAATGTGACTTTTTAAGAATTCAAGATCGAGGAAAAAAAAATACCAAAGATTAACTGAGAAAAAAATTGTCTGTGTAGTTCAAAAGAAAAATATCGAGTAAAAAAAATTGTTGGCATTTTGTTCACAATATTCGTATCAAACATGGTAAATAAATATTTCCCACCCAACTTCCTCATTATTTCATACCAAATACTCGTACCAAACACCCCCTTCGTTCAAACACATAGTTAATCAAATTCTTTATGGAAAAGTGATTATGTTATTTGATTACAATAATTCATTTTCAGTTATTGATAATGAGATAAAAGAAAAAATAATAATTTTTAAATAAATAATTGTGATTAAATAATATGATCACATCACTATTTTTTCACATGAAATAATCTAAATTCATCAAATTCAGACCCAATTTGATGTGGATTATTTTTACTAAATTATGTCCTTGTATATCAATATCATGATGTACATTAAAATACATTGCCTGAAAATAGAATTCAATGAAGCTGTTATTAGAAAGAAAAAAAATAGTTATAATATTATAATATTAAAAATGTTATAACAATAGGACATTATTAATTTGCTCATAACTATGTTCTTTATTTCAAATATTACATTAATCTCTCTTTAAATTTTATAGTTCAAATATGAATTGTCTCTTCTATTCAATAGAGACATGTTAAATAAATAAATAAATAAAGACTATGAAATGATGAGTGTAATAATATCCATCTTCGATTGCCATCGGCTCTGTTTCACTTCGTGCCAAAGGCAAAACATCTGTGGTGGCTTCCGCAAGACGTAATAGTAAAAGGGTGTGGTTGACCCAACAGAAGTGGATGAAATTTTTCTTTTTTCTTTTGATTTTTAAACATAAAATGATGCTTTGATTGGGTTGTTTTGTATAGTAGGAAGATCAGCTATTCCTAGAAACTTTGTGTTTGTATTGTCTTATATTTTGCGTTTGATTTCACTGTTAGTATTAGTTCTATCCCAAACAAAAGTAGGGATATGGTTATTTTCATCAAAAACCCAATCTCAACTTTATTCAACAAATAAACAACTCGAAAATCAAACTTACGCATTCCACAAACTTAATATGAGTTTTGGATCATTTCAGTTACAATCATAGAAATGGGTGAGGTCACTTACAAAGAAAATTAATAGTCATATAATTATTAAGAGAAAAATATTTGTCATTTATAATATTTAGTCAAGTAAAAAATTAAATAAAAAGTAAATTCTGATAAATAAAAAGATAATTGGTTAAATATTATAGTGAAATACGATAATTTTACTTACCCCTAATCTTCTCGGATAGTTATACTTATAATTTTTTTTCTTATAACTTTTTTATAATTATTTTTTTATCCTTAAGTCAAAATCAAATCAATGATTATAAAATAATATCGAATAAGAGTCATTAATTTAATTTTAATCTATACGATAACAAAGTGATTGTAAGGAAAAAAAATTATAAATATAAGCTACCTTATTTTCTTAATACTTAATGAAAATATTTAATAATTTGAAAATATAAAAAGTTCAATGCTTTATTCATTCGATAATTGTGATATTTATTAAGAATATTAATTAAAAAATATAATTATTCTTACCAATACATCACCTCTATCACTACTTGAAGTAATTCACTTAAGCTATCACTCAATAAATCAAGAGATGTAAAAAGTATAAATTATTAAAAATGATCGTAAAAAAATTTATTTAGAAAGATGAATCGTTTTATTTTATTTTTTTATTTTTTATTTTTTCGTAATAATCGTTTTATTTTATTACTGACTAAAAATATAAGGGAAAATAATTTTATTTTGAACCATTAATTTTTTTCTATCATACGTAAAAGTGAGTAAGTTTTATTATAAAAAGAATAGAGAGAAAATATTAATATAACTTATTCATTTTATGTGAATATAATAAAAAAAAAATGTATAGTAAAGCAGAAACATTAAATCTAATAACATAATAGCCACTCGAGAACAAATTAACCAATCTTTATCAAGCAAAAGTCATTTGCATTTTTGTTTACGGAATAATATTTCTAGTATTTTAAAAAATAAATTTATCTCTTATACATACATAAAAGTAGGGGTGGTAAACGAGCCAGGGGCCTTTGGCTCGGCTCATAAAGGCCTGAGCTCGTTTAATAAAAGCTCGTGTTGAAACCAGACTTGAACTTGTATAAAAGCTCGTTTAATAAAAAGGCCTCAGGCTCTAATTCAGAAGCTCGGCCTTAGAGCCTCCCAGGCTAGCCTAGTATATAAATATTTATTTATACTTTTTATACTACTTGTAGTAACTCTTTCTCATCAATTTATTTCACCCCATTTTATTGGTTTAACAGACTTTTTAAATGATTTTGTTCTATATTATGCTATTTGGATATATATTGAATTTATGTATATTTATGGAATTACTAGTGTTGTTTTATATCATCCTTCATCCTCCTTCACACAAACAAACACACAAAAACTCATTCGTTCCATTGTGCACAGCTCGTTTGTGTCAATTTATTTTTTATTTTATTTATTTTATTTTTATTTTTGTTGGCACTTTTTTTATAATGGGCTAAGATAATATAACTTGTTATCTACCTTCTCTCACTTTAATTTTATTTATTTATTGTAGACTTTGTAAATTATTGCTGCAAATTGGAAGCTAAGGTTTCTATCTGGAAATTAATTTTTTGTGGAATTATGTTCTCTTATTTTTATTCTTTAACATGCTAACAGGCTAAGACAAGCTTCACACAGGCTTTTATTTTTTGTAAATAAACCAGACCACAGGCCAATATTATATTCGTAACAGGTAACAGGCTAAGGCCAGTCGGACACGCTTAATATAGGCTTGGCCCATTAAGATCAAAGCTCGGCACGGCTCGGCCCGTTAACACCCCTACATAAAAGTATATGAGTTCAGATTATCAGGAAAAAAAAGTGTACGAGTTCATGTGTGGTCACGTGAAGAAAAAAAAGAGAAAAAAAAATATAGATTCTATATACTTTTGTATATGTAAGAGATAAAATGATCTCATACAACAAGATAAACACTTTATTAAAGCCACTAGGTTGAGTTTAGTGACGAGGGATTTGAGTAAATTATATTAGCTTACCAAAAAAAAAAATTATATTAGGTTATATATTCAATTTTCTATTTATATAAAAAACACTTTATTATTTAATTTTATTTGTTGAGGTTAGACATTGAGTGAAAACAAGTAATTACTAAATTAGAAACAACGGTCATTTGTGAAATCTTTATATGTCATATAAACTAAGTGGAAATGGATCCAAACTAAGTACTCTTTCAGTTGACAGTTGTCCTCAATATTATTTTCCCCCAAACTCACCGACAAAGCACGAAGTTGGTGGAATTTTTTTTTCAATGCACTTTAAAAATTTCTCAGAAATTAAAGAAAAAAAAAACAAAGAATCTTCAAACATTTTTGCAACAAAGCGTCGGTAAGGACTGCAACTCCCTTTGTCGATACGTTTCTTCAAGCCATTTAAACAACTCTTTAGCAAGAGTGGGTCACATGCATTATTATACTTATCATTGCATTGTGTGCATTATTAGATTAAGACACCTTACTTATTTTTTATTTTATTTTTTAGGGCTTAAGACCTGATGAGGATTTTATCATCGTGAAAATTAAAAAAATAGAGTAAATGAAATCACAAAGAACATCATGTTCAACTTAACAAGAGCCAAGCTCGATCACCATTAAGACTTTTAATTTCATTTGAGAAAATTGAGTGGAAATTAAAAAAAAAAAAAAAGAGAAAAAATAATCTGACGGTAAAAAGCAGTAATTATCGATAAATAAGAATGTTGAACATTACAATCATTATGCAATAAAGATAAATAGAAATGTAAGTAGTACAATTTTTAATTATTTTATAATTATTGAGTGAAATTATGCGCGAATCTCAACAATGTGATGGACTGATGGTAGCCTTCACAGAAAATTATTGATAATCTATGAATGATTTATATAGTGTTGTTGTATAAAAATAATAAAAATAATTATAAATTCAACGTTATTGTCGGAAATCAAAATCATCTACATCTTCATCCGTGCAATTCAATTCTAACATGGCAACTTCAACGGTATCGTCGAAATCGTCTTCATCTTCATCGACTTCTTCGAAGCGATGGACCCAGAATATTTCGTCAATAGCAGCTCGCATCTACTTCTGCCTCATCTTCTTTCAGATCCCTCTCTTCAGGTACTTCCAAAACCCTTCATTCTCTCTCTCTCTCTCTCTCTCTCTCTCTTAAAAATAATAATAATTGGTTTTCTCTCGTATGTTGGATGAGTATTATAGTTTTCTTTACCAAATTAGGGAATAAATTTATGTTTCATCGAGTAATTTATGTATATTGCAATTTGGTAAAGATTTCAATAATAATTAACTGAATTGAGGGTCACATCGTTTGGTGCTCTTATGATATGTGTTAATTGCAAGAACGGCACAAGGTACCATTTTGATTTAAGCTTCCGTTACAAATGTGATACACGTTATTTTAATTTTTATATACCCCATTTTTTTTATTTTTTTTTTGAAAAAATGATTTTGTAACTAAGTGTAGATTGCTGGGATTCTCTGTTTTCTAAATTAAATGAGCTCAAAGTCTTAGTTTGGCAATGAATTTACGCTTTAATTTGACGTGATTATGTTTATAACCTTTGGACTTAAGTTTGTTGAACTTCGAAACTGTATTTTGAATTTTCTCCATCTGGTCATGTCATGATATTGTCATGCCATATAAGATAAAATGTTATGTAGCATTCTTCATGCTGTATTGTTTGTAATGGATTTTTTTGTTTAATTCAAATTCTAATGTCTGTTTTTCTTATAATTTGGTTATTATTATGGGTGTTTGGGTAGCAGCTGACTGGAAAAAAAAAAAAGAGTCTCTGAAAGTGGAAGAGCATATTATCAGAAATTGTTATACATTTGTAGTTTCTTCTGATTCCCATTGCCTAAGTGTGTAAAACCTTTCAACTGAAACTATCTGAAATCTGTAACACCTAATCCCACATAATGAAACAATTGCCTTGTCCCTGTGGAGCATGTTGTAATAGAAAGGAGCATTTGTGACTTTCATGAATGGGGATGTTATCATGCTTCTGAATGCAGTTTATATTATCCTGTACTTGGCATGATAAACATGCATCATATCTGCTACCAATTTTACTTAGTTCCTAATGTCTTGATATGTATTGGCTAATTTGGCTTTCTTCTGCAATAGATCCCCATTATATATATTTTTACACTGTAGTTAAAAGTATAAGTGGTAGCATTTAGAACATCTGGGACTTGTCTTCTTTTGTTTCTGTTACAGGGTGACTTGCAGATCTGGTGTGTGTAAAACCCCTTTGCACGTCACATCGTCACAGTTAATCGCAAGTGAGATCTTCCCGGTTCCTGTTATTAAGGGCCTTTTGTATCCTGGGGCTGCTGTAAATGGCCTCATCCACAACATGACTATCCCAAGCTGGGATAATTTATTAGACATATATAATTTAACCAGTATAAAAGAAGCTTCTGCAGTAACTGATCTTCAACGCCTAGAGGTTAGGCCATTTAACTGATCTTGTGTTATATGGGCTTCTTCTCATTTGTCAGCAAGAGTCTGCGTTAATTTAAGCTTTCCAGTTCCATTGTGTGGATCTTTCCTATTTGGAGGCTTAGTCTTGTCAAGGATTTACAGTGTCATATTTACTTCAAATAGTTCATACCTTTTCTAAGTTTGAATTGTTAAATAAAAATTGACTATGAATTTTGAGTTTACTATTTCAAGAAATATTTTCCAAGGAATCAGGTAAATGAGAATGCTCTCTTGATCAACTTAGGAGGCCTTATTTCTTAAAATCTGCGTATGATTTGTTGTATATTTCAGATGAGTGCTGGTCCCTTAATTGTTCTTACTATTATTGCATATTTGCAATTTGATATACCTTCGTCTGTCCTAATGCAAGTCCCTGTGGATTTTTTAATTTTCGTTATAGCACTTGATTCCATTAAGCTTCTGTTTCTCTGTGTATGTTCATACTTTTCATATCAATACATCAATTGTTTACCAGGTGCTTGCGGGAAGCTACTTCTCAGTGGCAGGCGCACTTGTAGGTCTGCTTAAACCAGGGAGAATGACCATTTTTGGGTCACTTCTTGTAATTTGGGGACTAGTCAAGGAAGGGATTTTAGGGAAGCCAGTAAATTCTGATCCTTCAAAAGCTGTGTATGTCTACCCAACAATGGTGATTGCCTTGATATGTGCCTTATCATCTGTTAAGTATGACGTAAACAAGGTTGCTAGAACAGCTCCTGTCCGGACCAGTGCTACACCTCTTCAAAGCTCATCAAAGTCTAAGCTGAAATATAAGTAATTCTCATACTGACACTAGTTAAGTGGTACACATTCATCTGAAATTCATTTTGGAACATATTGTTCAGTTGTTCAAGAATTATTACTTTTCCTTTTACATATTGCAAATAGTTGAGCTTGTTGACCACTAGAATGGGAGAAAAAAAAGAAAGAAAGAAAGATCTGAAAGAGCATGGATCACCTCATTTGCTTGTTTATTGATTGCTCAACTTTATTAGGGTCGATTGTTAGACAATTTGACTTTATGAAGATCCCAATTTCTAACATATTTGGCTCTATTAAGATCATTCTCAACTGTTAGGATTATGGGGTTTAGGTAGTTAAGGAGGAAAAGAGAAAAACATGACTCTCAATAGTATTATATGAGTGTCACGGTATGATACAAAATACCTACACAAGGATAAATTAGGAGCAAATAAAGATGAGAAAACAAAAACACAAAATAGGAGTTTGGTGATAATCGGGTTCTATGAACTCAAAACAACAAAAGAAGAAGCTATTCTAAAGGCGGATATCATGTAACGATTATTTGGCTCTAGATTAAGGAGGAGGCAAAAAGAGAGAAACAAGACTTTCAATATTATAATGTGAAATAGATACGTTGTGCAATGGTTTGATATAAAATACCAACACAGTGGTGCTACTTATACTAATCATAGGTTGTTTTCATCTTTATATAACTTACTATTTTCACTAAAAATTCTAATGATATATTGATATGCTAATATATTCCAAGATACATTGAGGTTATTATGATGTATTTTTAACACCAACATAGGCTTGGCAAAACTATACTTTTCGTTTCTTTAACTCTAAGCTAGGTGTGTATTTTTCATTTCAAAACAATATTTCATTTCATTTTCATCCCAAGTCTTTCTAAAACCCATCAAATTAATCATAAATACTAGCACTATAATGAATGCTAATGGAATTTTGGCACAATTGGCATTCTACTATCTCTAATTAGGATTTCTTTTTGATGTTGGTGATTGATAAAAATTTATATAAAAAAATATATTGAAATAAGTTGAAGTGCTTCTATTTTTTTTAAATGCAAAATGTTGGCAAAGTGTGCAACCACTCCTGAACGAGCGTTGTTAATGGTAAGATCTCTCCTCAAATAGGTGATTTCAAGTATCTAACGTTTCCCACTTCACTGACAGAGATACGTCTTGTGGCCTAGCCAACCACTGCTAGGCCAACCCATGTTGAGTAAGTTGACGTGCTTCTTTCTTAAAAGGAGCATAAACAATTTACATCAATATAAATATCACACCAAATTTTCGTGGTTAAATTTATTCATAATTAACTTATTAATTATATGAATCATTGGTATAAATGAAATCAAAGTTAAAATAATAAATAAGATGTATTATTTGTATACCAATAGTAACAAACTTATTTAAAGCTGGCCCCAAACATAAATTTGCAGTGTAATATTCTCCTTTTCCAATTTTGAAAGTGTCTAGTATCCTAAAGGTGGTGTAAAGGGTTCTATTAAAGCAAAATATTTTTAGTGCAAGAAGAGTATCGATCATTCAGGATATCTTTTATTAAATATGATAAAAAAACAACTCATTTATACTATCATTATCTTTATAATTATTTCTTTCCATGTTCTCTTTTTTGTAAGAAAATATCTACTCCCGTTGTATAAAAAATATGCTCATATTGAACCCACTAATATGAGTTAATTTTGGTACTCCATCTAAAATATATATATTACTCTTTTGAAGTTACATATTAGTCACTTGTAAATTTCACTACTCAGCTTTTAATTTAAAGGGATTTTTTTTTTTTTTGCTAAAAAAAAAAAATTCTATCACGTAAAAGTGAGTGAGTCCTGCAAACTTTTTCCTTCTCTTATCTTTATAATGGACCTACTCGTGAGTGTGGCAAATTTTTTTTCAAAAACATAAACATTAAACCCAAATCTCTTTTTTTTTTTTTTGGTAATCGTTCATCCAATGTTTTAGTTACGACCGAATAGTAATTTTCGTATAATTTATGTTTAACTGATGCATTTAAATTTAGATTGAGATATACAAAAGAAAATAGTTAGTGCCTGAAATTATTTGAGAAATACTATAACTTTTAAACTTTGGATATATAAATTTATGGCTCGTTTGGTGGCCAGGATATGATAAGGGTATGATATGATATAGAGCTGATAAGGGTATGATATGATATAAAGCTGATAAGAGTAGGATGTGATATGAGGCTGATAAGCCTATATCATGTCCTGTGTTTGTTGAGCACCTGATTAGCAATTTGATAAGATTATGTAGAAGGATAAAAGAGAAAGAAAAACAAAATACAATGCAATAAATACAAATATATTGGGTAGCGTGAGGATATATTGGATAATGTGGGGATATATTGGGTATCAAATATTGGTATCTTATCATATTGAATCCTAACCCAGCTCCCCCAATAGGTAAAGAAATCATGTATTGGATAGGATAAAATGAGACAATAGAATAAGTTAATCATATCCTATTGACCCACCAAACAAGAGATGAAAGTAGGATATGATAAGTTATCATATCCTATCTTCTTTATCAGGTGCTCCAAACAGGCCCTTAGTTAGGGGTGTTCGCGGTCTGGATTGGATCGGTTTTGTAAGCAAAATTCATCCGATCCAATCCCTTCGGTTTGAATTTTTTTTCAAATCCGATCCGATTCAATCCAATTTTTTTCGGTTTGGATTGGATCGGTTTTTAGTTTTTGAAAATCCTAAAATTTATTTTATGATTATTATGCAAATAACGTCTTTTGTATTTATTGTATATATTGGCTTTGTAATTTTTTTTTTTTGAAATACAAAAGCATTAGTAGACTATAATATAGTTTTTTTTTTTGACAATGAGATATGAAGTTCTATAAAAATAAAATTGTGTTGATAAGATATGACTAGATTTTTTCTTGGGTTTAGTTGATGGGTTAATGTGTCTTTGATTTAAAAATTTTAGGCTATGATTAAGGAAAAACCCAAGTAGGTAGAGGGGAATTAATATATTGGATCGGTTTTCATCAACCCATCCAAAAATCAATCCAATCCAATTAAAATTTGCGGTTTTTTTCGGTTATCGATTTTTCGGTTCGGTTACCGGAGTTTGAATCGGTTTGGATCGGTTGATGAACACCCCTACCCTTAGTGTTAAAAAAATATACAAATCTTAAACCTAATTTGTTTTTTGAAGTTATTTATTTGGGTTAAAGACTTCTCATGGCACACGAGAAGAATTTCTTCTCCTACACACAGAACAAATATGTGGGTCTCTTTGTTTTTTTTTCTCTTTTCTCTTTTCAATTGAACCCCATGCTTTTTGTGTATATATGAGAAAAAATTCTTTTCGTATAACATAAGAAGTCTTTAACCTATTTAAATTCGTAGAATTCTTGCACATATAAAATGTGTAAAACTAATTTTATTATAATATGTGTAACTTATAATAAAAATAACATTTGTTGAAGACAACTGCCCAATGTTTTGATATCAAAATCACAACTCACAACTTACAGGAATATTAATTATCACAAAAAATCTAAACCTTTCACGTATAATATAACTGGTAAAATATGACAACAAAATGGCCGGATAATAGTGCCTAAAATTTTCACCCACACGAGTCAATTTTCAATAAAACTAATACACTCAAGGAAAATAAAATTTAAAATATTTATTTAATATATTTTCGCCCCACGACATTTATTTTCTCAATCAGTTCCTACCTGGTTTCTGACCGGCTAAAGTGGCTGATCACTCTGTTGAGTCTGAACTTTTTAATTTTTTTTTTTTTTGGGTTGTTAATGCAGCAAAATTCAGTTACTTACAGATAATCTTCTTATAGGCATATTTACAAACACTATGAAGTGTTGACATTAAGATAAACATAACTCTACTTTTTGAATTTGAATTTGTATTGTTTCTGTAACCTAATACCTTGTTCAATTATCCTTGTTAGATATTTTTTAAACAATATTGACATCAAGATAAACATAGCTCAAATTTTTGAATTTGAATTTAAATTGTTTCTGTAACCTAATATCTTGTTCACTTATCCTTGTTACAGTTTTTAAACAATTAATAGCTAAGTATCCTTATTGTTCTAGGCCCACTTTTAAGATATAATAGATCAGGATAATCCCAATTCAAATATCCAAACACCTTATCTATTAAGAGTTTAAATCCTACTGAAACTTGTACATTTCTACGTAAATCTACAAGTTATATATTTTTCAAGCTTTTATTGAATATAATTCTGTTTGAGCCGAAAACATTTTATCGTGTATAAGTAACTCTTCCTAAAATTTCACGCGGAATCAAGTTTATTGAGCCTCTTCTCTTTTTGCCAAGTAATCTCTTACTCGTGGCTATTTCTTCCTTAGACTCCATTTAGCTTACCATCCTACATTGATTGATCCTCCAGGAACGAAGATGTGTTGAGTAGTCATTATCTCATTATTAACAGGGAGTGGATTTTCTTATGTGCTAATTAACATGACCATGTTATGTGGGACAATCATAATCATACGTGGGTGACTTAATGGTGATAAGAGAAAAAAATATAAGGATAGGAAGTTACACAATCATCACCGTTAATTTAATTATTAATAGTTAAGATCCTTCCACATAACATAATTATGTTAAATCACACCTGAGAGATCCATTTCCTTATTTCGAAGGTTAACTCTTACGCAGTTACAAGAAAAACAGAGTAAGGGGAGATTCGGCCCGGCCCGGCCCAAACAAGTGAAGAAAGTGTGTTCCCGCTCGCATTTTAAATGCCCGCTCATGCACCCTACGTATATGGTAGTCACATTTCACGCGCCACACACACACACTCTCTTTCTTCTGAACTGATAGTAAAAAAATAAAAAATAAAAAAAATCTAAATATTGTGGTGAGTGAGTTGCATTATTGATTAGAGAGAAGAGAGTGATTTGTTAAAGAAGAAGAAGAGAAATTGTTGTGATGATGATGGATTCACCTGAACCTTCTAAGAACAATGGCAGTTCTTCTGCTTCCACCGTCAACACTTCTTCATCGGAATCTCCTCCAGTTCAAGTAACTTCACTTCTTAATTCCTCACTCACTTTTTTTTTTTTTTTTTTGTACGTTTGTTTTCATTCCTCTTTTGACTTCGTTTTTTTTTTTTTACTTCCCTTTTTTTATTACAGTGATTAATGGATTCTGATTAATTACTTTAATTTAGGGCTTTGAACGATCTCAGAATTTAGGGTGGTAATGTACCGTTTTGACTCACTGGAATTGAGTGTTGTGGTGGAATTCTTCTTTTCTCGTTGAACAGTTCATTTAATGAATGAATTCTTGGAAGAAATTTGTTTGGAAATCGGAAAATGATATTTGTTTAAGATCTCACTTCGTTTGCAATTAATAATATGTATAGTGTTTAATGGTTTGTGAATCCTACCTCATATGATTGGATTAGTAAATCAATTTTCTTTTGGTCATGCCTCTTACAAACCCATCACTACTAAAATTCACAGGCATTGCTTCTTACTGTTTTATTTTTTTTCCTTGCAGGCTTTTTTTATTAATTGATTTGATGATGATGCTCTACTCTCTAAAGTTTATGAACCCTTACTGTGTTATTATTGCATAAAATGAATGATAAAAAGAAATAAAAGACCATCAATTGTGTATGTATTAATAGACTTTGGAGGATTGCTGCATGTATGTATTGTGATGCCACACATTGATTATCATCATCTGGTCCTGGTCCTGATTCTGGAATCATCTTTTTTCTGTTTAAAGACGTCTACAGCATTATTTAGTTAGCTTATGGTAACTTCGGACTGTTTCATTTCATTTGCAGTATGTGAATAATGAATGAATCTCACGTATCACCTTTTTAATTTCAGGAATCCCCCTTTATTAGTTTTGTGAACACTTTATCTCCAATAAAGCCTGTCAAGGCTTGTCATGGGGTACAAGGTTTTGTTGGACTCAATTCTCCACCTCATGTATTCAAATCACCACGTATTAGTTGTCACCGTGAAACACAGTTCTTGGAAAGGTTTGTGACTTAAATTGTGTGTGTGTGTTTCTTTTCTTTCTATTTTATTTTATTTTTATTTTATTTTATGTTTTGGGAGAGAAGCTGATTGTTGACAAAATTTGTCCATATCAGGCCTCAAGGCACTCGGTTACCCAGTGGAGAAATATCTCAAAGTGATAATGGAGGCAACAGTCTTGTTGAAGCTCCTGGTGATTCCAAGAAAACAAATTCTCAACACCTACTGCCGGAGAGGACTATAACTGACACTCAGAAGGATTTTGACATAAAAAATGATGCAAATACCCAACACTGCAGTCCTCCACCATCTGTTGATGAATATTTGGCTGATCCTGGGGATATTGATCAAATCTATTCAGTCAACCCAGATGTGGAACAATCAACTGATGCAGATGAATCGCTAAGTGACATAATTCAGTCAATAACTCAGTCAAAGGAAATTATATTAAAATTTGATAGGAAAGATGGTCCTGGTGATAAAGCAGTAGAAACTTTGCCTGTGTCAGAGGAATCTAATAAGGTTTATCAAGAAAAGCTTGCATACGTTGAAGAACCTGAAAAAATAGAAGGGGAGGAAAAAGATGTTGAAAGGGCTTCTCAAGAGAACCCAAAGTTAGAGTCCAATTTATCTGCAGATGTTTTTGAGAAACAACATAGTCACGATTCACTTCCCCAGGTAACCATAGGTTCTTGCTGTCTATATCTGTAATATTGATATAGGGCATTCAGTCAATATTTATAGCTATGATTAGTGTGACCTAGATGTCTTTCAGCCTTTCTTTTATTATTTAACTTCAAAATTTTAAGCTTCAGTGTGCAGGAAATGAACTACGTGATCATAATGATTCTACACCACAGTTGATGGGTGATCCTCTGCCGGATGTTAACGAAAGTGAAGATTGCAACGGGATGGTGTCAACCTCACATGTAGGTGCAGAGCATGTCTCGCAAGATGGTTCTGAGGTATACATCAGACTTTTTATGTATGTGGTTTTTTTTTTTGGTGTGTGTGTGTGTTTGGGGGGGGGGGGGGGGGGGGGGGGATTTATTGTGGTCCTCTGGAGGCAGGTTAATTTTTGTGTGAATTTGGCCATCTTTTCATGCTTTTTTCTCTCTCCTAGAGTGTTGGCGTGAGTCTTATGTCTCTTTTTCTATACTTTTAAGCTGAGTAGATTCTTTCAAGGTCAATGATTATAGGCTTGAATGAGCTTCTATTTTTTTACTTTTTATCATTTGGTTCCTATTAACAAATATCACTAATCAAGAGAAGAGAACAGTACATGTACTTTATTGACAGTCATTCTTTGAAATCTAATGCTTTGGTGATCTAGTTTGTTTATGGAGCTTTGCATGCGTCATGGCAGGAACTTTTTTAAGAAAATTAGCAGCAGTGGTATACTCCGTATCTCTGGCAGATGGGTAACTGTAATCAGACATCTCCAGTTAATAATTTCGCTCCACTTTTCTGCTAACTAAGTTTTCTTTCCTTTGGAGCTTTGAAAATTTGTGAATATGTGGTAATTGCATTTCCTCAGGTAATGAAGATTGTTAAAAAATCTGAGTCCCGATGAGATATCACATCATGGACTGACGGTTTAGGGTATCTCCTAGGATAAGAACTAAGATTTTTTTTCAACCTAAAATTATATATATATATATATATATATATATTCATGAAAATATCTTTGAACATTGAAAATATTTTGAACCGAGACTTTTCCGCAATAATTTGCTTGCTAAGAGATTTAAGTCATGTCGTATGAGACTGTTGCGTTCTAGTGGCATGATCTACTTTGTGAATGACTAATTTATAATAGAATTTTCATAGGACAATGTTGCCTGATTATCAGGAATTTGTCTTTTTGTTTGTTTGAGTCTATAAAGATTTTCTTTGTGCAATAGAATAATTATTACAGTCAATGTAGGCTAGTCTAAAGCATCATGGCATTCGTAGACGCTGCCTACAATTTGAGGAAACTGCTTCCAATGCTCTTGGAAATAATAAGTCTCATATGGAAATGAATGCAACTTCAAGCGAAATAAAAATGGTCAAGCTGTCCGAACCTATCACTTCCTTTTTTCCTCAACGAGGTAATGGAAACTTTCCTGTAACAAGTCCCAAGCCATCAGGTATTGGGTTGCATTTAAATAGCATCATATATGCTATGCCAGCTGGTAGTGCTGCAACTACAGGCATGAGATTATCAGATGGTATACGGGGGATGAAATCCACATCTTCAATAATAAGCTTACCTAAAGTGGAGAGCATGAAGAGATCCTTAATTTTGTCAAATACGGATGGCCAATCATTAGTTGATACTGGAAATGAGAGCCATGAAATTGATGCTTCAATAACTGCAGATTCTTTCATCTCTGAGTCTTCTAGCTTGATAGAACCTGCCGCTTTATATCCTGCAAGTGCTTATGATAACAGGAAACTAAGCCCTCCAGATGCTGGACCTAAGGAATTTGACGAACCTAGCCCCAGCAAGAAACAGTTAGTTCTTGTGATCTTTCTCATAGTTCATAATTTTATTCTTGATATGTTTTGTTGTATCACCAAATTTTGTGTTGCTTTTTAGGAAGAAAACATCAATCACCACTGATAAAAATGGCTGTAAACGGTGCAACTGTAAGAAGAGTAAATGTTTGAAGCTGTAAGTAAATTATGTATGTTTTGGTATATGTCACTTTATATGATATATGCAATATCTATGTATTTTAATTTGAGTGCTTCGCAGTTATTGTGATTGTTTTGCTGCCGGATTGTATTGTACCGAACCTTGTTCTTGCCACGGCTGCTTTAATAGACACGAACATGAAGATAAGGTTGTTGAGACAAAGCTACAAATTCAATCCCGTAATCCAAATGCTTTTGCTCCCAAGATTACCGCCGAAACTCCGTCAAATAATATGGTATAAGATCCTCATATTTTGCTTTTATTTATTTTGTGGGTTTCAGAAGTGAATTGATTGTTTAAAGTGCTCTTCGCAGGAGGATGAGAATCTGACAACACCGTCATCGGCAAGGCACAAAAGAGGTTGCAATTGCAAAAGGTCAATGTGTATGAAAAAATATTGTGAATGTTTTCAGGTTTGTATATTATGTCCATTTCTATGCGTTCTAAACATTTCAGCAGTTTAATCTCCCGTGTCCGCTGTTAACACCATTTTTTTAATATTTGAAAAAGGCTGAAGTTGGATGTTCCAGTGGATGTCGATGTGAGGGATGTAAGAATGTCTTTGGCAGAAAAGAAGGTTAGAATTTACATTATGAATTGCTATTTTTTTTTTTTTTGATAACAATGAATTGCTATTTTAAATTATTATTGCATCGGAAAATATAATTTAATTTTTGTCTGATAAATAGAAATGATATGAGATGAAATTTGGAGGTTTTGATGTTACTCAATACTCATCCTGCTAAGGAAAAGTGTTGAGACCAGCACAACTTTGCTTTTTTAGTGATATTTGGTATTGAATCAAGAACCTCAACCCAAACCCCACCTACCACTAAGTCCAGGTGGCTTGCTAGCGAATATGTTTGGTCATGATGGTCATACAAATGTCACTCCTTTGCTTTATGGCGCCCGTAAGAATCTGCAATGCACTTTTGGAGTTGGTCGTTTGTTGTGAAGGAACTTTTAAATCTCACCGATTAATTCAAGCATGATTAAAATTATAACCGTGAATTTATTTGAATGCCAAAGCATGCGGGAAGAGAGGACACAGATTATTAAGATATGCAGCTAAGAATGTTGGTTAATGTAATACTCGTTTTTCAAATTCAGATTCTGTTGCCTTGGAGCATGCTTTTAGAAGAGAAAGGGTGACCAGCAGTGTTGAAAAAGGATCAGATAGCACATTTCACTCTAAACTGGAAATGGTGGCAAGCAGGACAGATTTGTTAAAAACAGAGTTGTATGATCTACCCGGCCTCTCACCTCTAACGCCATCGTTACAATGCTCTGAGTAAGTTTGCTTTCACTATAAATCTTTCTATATTTGATAGAATAAAAAAATTATAATCCTGAGTATTTATAACGACTCTGCCTTTGAACTTTGATTGGCCTTTCTCCATTTGTCCAGCCAAGGCAAGGAGGCTGGAAAATCCCGACTTCTTTTAGCAAATTACTCTCAATCTTCCGAAAATTTAAACAGCAGTCTTGCTCTTTTGGAAACAAATGAGATGTTAGGAACTGCCTCCTATGATTCGCAAGTTGATTGCAACAATGTGGACAACATTTTGGATCAATCATCACCAAAATGTAATTCAGTTGTTAACGTACTTCAGCTTAGTCCTCTGTCGAAGCATGAGTCAACGTCTGGTGGTTCATCGTTCTCTCCTAAGACAAATGAGTGGACAAACATTCCACAAGCCCGACTCTCCCATGGATGTATTCGCCATTTATCTGGCGGCTCTCTTCGTTGGCGTGGTTCACCAACTACCCCAAGGTCTACAGTAGATGAAACACCATATTTACAGTGTTTTGAATCAGATGGCAGGCTCTCTGGCATTCTAGAAGATGAAACTCCTGATATATTGAAGGAAGCTTCAACACCTATCAAGCCTGTGAAAGCAAATTCCCCTAACCAAAAGCGAGTTTCTCCTCCCCACAGTCATCTACGCGGGATTGGGTCAAGCTTCTCAGGAGGCTTCAAAAGTGGCAGGAAATTTATATTGCAAGCTGTACCTTCTTTCCCACCATTGACCCCTTGCATGGATTCCAAAGACAATGGCAATGAGGATTCGGGTAACAAAGCCAGCAAGTGACAGACAATGCCCAAGCTAAAGGACGCCCTTAATATAAGTGTTATACAGACAGAAGGTTTATGTAATCTGGTATGATGGTTGGCATCTTCTCTGGTACGGGTATGTTGACAAAGCTCTGTTTTCTTGTTATCTTGTTTCAAATGTTTTAGAACATTACCATTTTAGTGATACTTTTTCTTGATTGTGGCAAACAGGTTCCCAGGTGACTTATTGTGTGAACTATCAATGCAAAATTGAAGTTATGACTACATCGTCATCCGATGTGTAGCATTCCGTTATATTTTTAAGCATTTTTAAAGTTTTTGTTTAGTGGGTCTTTTCTTGGAACAAAATTTTCTTCTTCTTTTCCCCCCTTTGGGTATGAATGCTATTTTGCATATTCTCAAATGGAGTCTCATTCTTAAAGGGAAGTTGGTCATGTTAATTAGGCTAAATAAAACTTCACTCATTGAGCACATAATTGATTGATAATACATATTGCTGCAAATCGATACTAGCATTTTGTTTGTTGGGCTCCTACTTCGCCTTGGCCGTTTCTTGTTCGCAAGATATGTGGTACTATTTCCAAATTGTGGTATTCAAGGAATTAATCGCCATCTGTCTTTGTTTTATTTTTTTTTCAAAATTCGAAGAATGACTTAATTGGTTCGTGAGTTATCAAAAATACCCTTTATTTTTTATTTTAAATCCCAAAATGATGTTGCCTTGGGGTTGCTGAGAATCACATTCCCCTTATTTAATCTATGAAATATTTGATTAACATTATTTTAATTTCTACAAAATGGTTAATATCAACTAGTTCCTGAATTGTGCATAGGTTTTGAGATTAAAGAATTAAATTAAAGTTATTTCTTAGTATTGAAGAGTTAAATTGATGTTAATTTGTTCATTATTGAAGAATTGAATTGGTGATATTTTTTAATATTAAATGATTAAATGATGTCAACTTAATTTTTCATGCAGTATTTTAAAACTCGACGCCGTCATTAACTCAGTCGTTGAAGTATTGGGATTAGTGGTTTAACCGAATTTCAAAATAATATATAATAAATATTAAATTATAAATATTATGTCCAACAAATAAAAGTAATCAAATGGTAAGCTTTCCGATCCTCAAACAAAGGGATTCAAGTGGTCATGATGATTGGTTCATTGAATTGATACCGATTAAATTACATGACCGAATCAATGACCAGCTCGAACCAGTGAAAGCACTGGGTCATCGAAATCTCGATTGACCTGGCCGATTCGACGCATGTTTTAAAACACTAATTTCATGGACTAAAATAAGAAAACTTTATTGTCTTATTTTGACTAAATTAATTAAATAAATATTCAAAGTACCAAAGTGACGATGCTTACATATTTGAAGGATGGAAATAAAGAATTTACTAATATTTTTCAGCACCACATTTCATTTGTTTTACAATTTATTATGGAAGAAATTATAAAATTCAGAAACAAAACTAAAAAATAGATAAGAATAATAAGGCTAAAGGAGAGAAAATGATATTAGCATTTAAACAAAGAGAACAGCAAAACAAATTAATTAACTCAAACTCAAATTTAATATGGTAAGGAGGATATGTAGAAAAGGAAGGCCTATCAAAGTCCACTTCATTTCATTGCCTTCCCAAACTTACGTAGCCATAGAATTCAAGAGAGGTTTGCAGAGAGATTAACATTTGAAGCAAACTTATTCCGCAATGCTACTTATCACAAAGCCAAAGTAGTTGAAGCAAATGATCTGCTTCAGACAGGGGGGTGGGGAGTAATTCGGAAAACAAGGGTACAGAAACTCATTTATTGGACTTTCCATGCTGAGTACTGGGACTAGTTAAATGTAGATGGTTCTAGTGCCTTGGGAGATGACTAGTAGGGCTTTTCAAAAAATCTTGGGCAATGGGAGCTCCTTAAAAACTGAACAACTATGTGCAAAATTAATTCTTTGATATCCTCGTCATGTAATGCTATTTTGATTATTAAAATGTTCCAGAGAGTAGACACAAAACCAGCATTGAACCATAAGGTTAGGGTTGGCCTGGCGCCTAAAAGATATGGAATCATACTTCATGACAAGCTTTGGGCAGCAGCCAATAAAAGATTAAAATTATTCAAGTCTGAACCAAAAAGTATAATTCAATAGTCATAAGCTTTAATCAAACGCTTGTTTTCATCAATTAGTTTTAAAATAAAAAAGTAACTTCTTTTTACAACTCAAAAAATAAAACTTTTGATTAAAAAAAATCTCCGCAACAATGCATGTTTTCCCAAACACGTCTTGTCTAAATTTTTTTTTTTTAAATATTCCAATCGGTTCATTGTTTCGCAACTAATCCGATTCGGGACGAGTCCAAGATTAAGGCTTTAAACCCACCTGCTTAACTCCCATGCACCAACTAAGCTACCACCATTTAGTAACTTGTCTGAAATTTTAACCTTTCTCGTATGAATAATATAGCTGCGACAAAGCTCGCATTCCAATATCAAGTGCGAAATAAGATAGCTGCGAATTATAACCAAGTTTAGAAGCGAATGTAGAATATGATACTTTAAGTGCGAAATAAAAAAGATCAAGTGCACGTTCTACTTTAATAATTTTTTAGAAAAAATAATTCAAACACAAACTAATCTAAAGATTTTTTTTTTTGAACATATGATATTTCAAACACAAAAACTAATATAAACAAAATTAAACAAAGTTAGAGATCACAAATTACCCAGTTATTAAACCTCCAATATATTAAAATACAAATCAAGAGTTTCACACCTACATTAGATTAACCCGCAAAACGTATAGGTCAAAATTCTACATAAATTCAACTCAAATGTAATACCACATCCGACCTGTCTCAGATACACAACTAAAACTGCACTCTAGTCTGACATGTATAGTCGTCTTTAACTTATTCTAGTAATCGTCTTTAAACATGACATTTCAATTAAACAAACGAAAGGAAAAAAAAAAGGACCTAAAACCTTGGTTTATAAAGGAAACATGTAACATTGACGAATTCCAGCAAGCAAAGCAAAAGGTGAAGTTTAAAAATAGAAGCCTCCAGCTCATTAAAAGTGACGGTTTCACTAGAAATTCCTGACCTAGCATTTCACCTTTGGCTTGAGTCGGGAGAACCATCTCCATAAGAGACTAGGCCTTTCTTTCCAGCTGGGCTTCCAGACGATGACCTTGACATGTTGCCTCTGCTTGCTTTTCGTGGAGATTGTGATTCCACTGAAGACCTGGATCGTGATGGACTCCTGCTCTGGGATGATGCTATGTGCCTCTCTGCACGAGGAGAGGCCCGAGAACGAGGATCAACCGGTGAATGACTACGAACTGGGCTACGGCTTCGGCTATATCGTCGAGCTCGGTAACGTGGGCTACGTGATACAGATGGCGTCCTGCTCCTCCTGGTTCGGTACCTAAATATAGGTTTTCACATAATCATATGCACTCTATTCACCGGGCATGGTGCTATCATTATTAATCAGTGGCATAGGGATCAGAAAGTGTAGTAACAACGAATCAAATCATTACGAGAGGTACTCTTAATAAATCATGCCTCTAATACAAGATTTACTAAGAAAATTTAAGAAATGCAGTTGTAGGAAGTTTGAAAAAAAAAAAAAACCTTGGTGGAGTTCTTCCACGTGGCTGTGGGCCCCTATAACGCCTAGGGGAGTACCTTCTGTAACCTGAATATCTGAGAACAGAAAGTGGACGACATGTAACTCTCTCCATACCACCTCAGTATGATGACTAATTAGAAACCATATACAACTACCAGTTTACCTGTCACGGTCACTTCTTCCATTATAGCGGTCACTTCTTCCATTATAGCGGTATGACCTCGCGGGAGACCGAGAGGGCGTTCTATACCTTCTAGCATAAGAGTATCGTTCACTGAAACCTCTTCCCCTTCTGATACGTTTTGGTGAAGCATCAGGAGACACGCTCCTTGACAAACTTCTCCCATGAGGTGTCCTTTCCCGACGGACAGGGCTACGACTCCTAGAATAACTCTGGCGATTGCCTCTGCTAAGCACTCTAACTGGACTTTGGCTAATGCTTCTCAAAGGGACCCTGCCGGAGCTTCTGCTTAAGCTTCTGGCAGATGATCTAATTGGACTCCTGCTTAGGCTCTTTCTTGACACTCCTACAGGGCTTCTGCTGACCGTTCTTCGTGATGATGCTTTGGGAGAATTCCAGCTCCGGCGACTCCGAGAAAGGGATCTTACAGGGCTCTCGCGGAAATTTCTACGATCGCGAGATCTAACGGGGCTTCTACTTACACTTTCATGATCACGAGTTCTAACAGGGCTCCTACTGATACTTCTCTCCTTCCGGCCCCTCACTGGGCTTCTGCTGTTTGGACTCCTGCTAATGCTTCTAACAGGACTTCTGCTCAATCTCCTTTTTGGACTAACGCTTGGGCTTTTGCTCTCACTCTTTGGACTAGTACATATATTCTTACTCATGGTTTGCTTAGGACTCATGCTTCGGCTCCTGCTCATCAACTTTTAATAAAATACCAGATCTGGAAGAAATGGTAAGCATAAGAAATAACTGAGGTGTGACAAGATTGGAAAGTAGACCTAGATTTGCCTGGATGATCATCCATCACGTCAGGCTGCCTCTCTTCACCTCTGTCAGATCTGTGGTTGGCCCCAATGCCATTTCTATGCTGCTCTCCATTTTCCTTTGAGAATTCCTCCTCTAGCATACCCACTTCCTCCCTCTTTTTAAGATGCATGGGAGGTAATTCTTTCTCTACAACTAAGGGAGACTGAACTTCAGCTGCTGCAAGATATGAAGAAAGATGAAGGAAAGACATGACCCATTACACACACTACCCAAAGAACAAAACTAAAAAAACTAAAATAAAATAATCTTTGCAATAGCATAGTCCACTTACACAAGCTATAACTTTGTTGAAGCTACATTTAAGTGACCTACATGACAGACCCAAAAGAGACCGGAAAAAGCAATTTTATTCATACAAATAGCATTTACTTTATATTTCCAATTCAAAGACAAAGTTTAGACGACTTCTTCCCTAGCTTACAATTGATGAACAACTGAAGGAAGGTAAAAAATGGGGGGGTACTCACGAATATAGTATTATCAAGAGAAAGGTACAAGATTAGCCAAATCAGAAAGCACACTCTCCCTCCAAGTAGATATCAGACAATTGGTCCTAGATTGACTTCATTTTTTCAGGTCATAAAATTCTCGGTAAAATGCAACCCAGAACTAGGCCCATAATCAACAATCCCCACCCACCACCCTGGGGGCCCCAAGGGGGAAGAACAAAGGACCGTTGCAAATTTCTAGCTTATATTTAAGAATTTTGCTCCGTCGGAGACAAGTAAAGGTAAAAGCTGATGTAATATATTTGGATAAACTATATCACATAAATGCAATGAACTAAAAGTTGAATGAATTCAAAATTACCATTTCTCTGAGAATGATCTTTATGCTTCTGATTTCTCCCTTGAGCATCAAGACTTTTGCTATCAGAGCTATTGTCACTCTTACTTTCACTATCTGAATCAGTAAGACTGCTCGATTCCCTAACACCACACAACAGAATCTCAGTGGTAACCACAAAAATCGTTGAAACCATGTAGGACTTGTTACATTAAAAAAAAAAAAAATCAAAACCCCTTCAATGCACTCAAAATGTCTGGTCGAGCACAATGGATGCAGGTCAATTCATGTAGTTTAATAAATATGATATTCATACAAATAAGCAGCACACATCATATAGGCTGCCTCTTTCACATACTATTAGAATACAATGAATTTTGAGACCACAATATCTATAGTGGCTATTATAAGTTCTTCACAAGCAAGCAACTACGACCGGAATCTGTAGTCCATAAATCATCAAAAAAACCAAATTTTCAATCAGATTAAATACCTTCTTGATCTATGCTTTGATCTTTTATCTCGTTTCCTTCGTCTCTTGTCTCGGTGTTTATCTCTTCTTTTTCCTTGTCGATGTTTATCTTTCCTGGACCTCTTTCTCTTCCTCTGCCTGCCGTCGCTGGAGGAACTGGTATAAGATGATGAAGACACATCCGAGTCAGAATCACTATCACTTTTTGAAGATTCCATGTCTGAATCTGAAGTACTATTCGATTCTGATGAGTAGTATTTTCTCCTTTTCCTTCTGTCTCCTGAAGATTTTTTGTGCTTCACCTTCTGTCGTGCTTCATGATTATGGGCTTCAGAAGATCCATCCCTTCCTAGTTTTAATTTATTTATCTTCTTTCCATCTACAAACATAAAGATTCAAATCAACAGATGAAATATATTTAAAGAGTTGGAAAAATGAATTTAATACTACAGTATGCTTTGGAATTTAAAGAGTTGGAAATGAAATGTTCAACAGATGATTTAGTATTTAAGTATCATCTTCGAGTTACGGGTAGAACCTAGTATTCACCAAAATGGGCTAAGGAATTCTCACCCTCATTATATTCACCACAATTAATTATTTTCACAGTTACAGTTGGATGTCCTTCTTCATCACCCACATCTTCAATTTTCTTCAATATATTATGACCTTGCACAAGCTTGCCAAAGACTACATGCTTCCTGCAGAATGACCCCACAACCGAATAAGATAAGCAAGTTGAGCATTTAGTACCACTCACAGAAACAATGAGTCTACGCCAGGATATTTTCCCTCCCACCCAATTTATAAATGGAACACAGAGTAAGTCCCATTTCGATAAATAATTTAAATAAGTACTTGTTTGAGTGAATCATGCTAACTAAGCCCCATTGCCTTAAGTGCAATCTAAAATAAGCCAAATAGTGTTTGAATATATGCTTTGAGAATTGAGAAGCACTTAAGCAAAAACAGAATTTTGTCAATTCATTATGTTTAATTTAGTCAAATCATTATAAAAACAGCTACTCCCCAAACTGTTCTTAGCTTTCTCCATGGCTAATATTCATGAGGTTTAATTTTTAGCTTATAAAAAAGCCCGCAACAGCTTATGATGGTTTCAGAAATGCAATCTAAAATAATCCAAATAGCATTTGAATATATGCTTTGAGAAACACTTAAGCAAAAATACAATTTTGTCAATTCATTATGGTTAATTTAGTCAAATTATTATAAAAACAGCTACTCCCTAAACTGTGCTTAGCTTTCTCCATGGCTATTATTCATGAGCTTAATTTTTAGCTTATAAAATTAAGCCTAAGAAAGCTTATATGGGTTTCAGAAGTGATATTAATAATAAGATCATCCAAACAGTACTTAAATACTTCGTAAGAGCTTATTGCAGTAGATATGCTCAAATAAGCTGAAAATAAACTCATCCAAACAGGACTTCAAATACTAAATGTCAGTAGGAGTGAACCAGATAAACAAACCTATCAAGATGGTGATCAGCTTTCAAAGTGATGATAAAATGAGAACCAAGAGTGTCACGATCAGTAATTGCCATGGATAGAAGGCCTGGAGCATCATGCTTCAGCCTAGGTGACTCATCTGAAATAAATCACAACGATAATTTTTAAGAACTACACAAACTTTGGGACATAATTTGAACGCAATACAATACTCATACTGTGGAATATGAGCTTGAGACCATAACTTAGCATTCTCACCTGGGAACTTGGAACCATATATGCTTTCTCCACCAGTCCCTGCAAAACACACAGGAAAATGTCATGCAGGAGTATAGTATAATGTACAACACATGCTGTATTTGGGATGCCATACAAAAAATAAGTGATAACCATCAATGAGGTTAAGAGATTTTAAGACAAGCTTACTGTTCAGCCACATAACTAAAAAGAAAAGGCTACATGGATTGAGGACTCCTTTTGCTTTGTATTGGCACAAGATAAATTGGTAAATAAGAACAACAATAATATGACATGATTTCAACAAATAATCTAAAAAATGGAAGATAACAGATGAAGAAGTTCACAAGCAGATAAAAAAGCAAACCATAGTATGGCTATAATTTTGAAAATAGTACTAGAGAGCCACAGTATAGCTATAGCAATATGTAAAAATTAACCCAAATAAGAAATTCAAATCACTTTCATACCCCCGCTCAATGACAGGCCAATCTGTGTTCATGCAAAGGAATTTTATTATTCAGTTTCCTAATTGGCTTAGAAAAGAAATTACCATTGTCACACGAAACATGAAAATGGAACAAGGCTTGCAACTCGGACAACTGAATGATCAAATGATAAAACATAAAGAAAGTGACTACATATCTTGTATCAAATTGCAACCTTCAAAAACTGGAGAAATAATTCATAAAAGTAGGCAATGTATCCACAGAATACGTACCATTTCGATTGACAAAATCACCACCCTGCAAAAGGAAAACCAACCATTAACACACATAATCAAATGACAACAATGCATACAAAACTGGTTTAGTCATCACGAGGCTTTTTAGAATTATGACGATGAATAACTTAGCAAGTACAACCTTAAAACTATATCACAAGAAAAGCAGTCGTGACCATCAGCCCTGTATCCTACAGAATAAACAAGAGTAACTGACTAAAAGAGGAACTACTACTAAGCCATTTTCAACCACAAATATGAGAAGACACATACAGAACTACCAAAGAACGATCAAGAATGTAAGAAGAAACAATATCAGCATACCCGCACAATGGAGCCTTTTACAATGTGATGGAAGAAAGAACCCTTGTAGTGCAGTGATTTTCCAGAATTTTGACTGACTCCCCTTTCTCCTGAACATAAAATGAAATATTTCAAAGGAAAAGGGGAGAGGAATCAGTTATTCATTGATTATGAAGACAAATTTTAATGCACATTTCGTGAAAGCAAAATGCATAAACATATCCAAGAACTTGTTTAGTCGGTGGATAAGTAACAGTAATGTTACATGGAATTTTTGCAAGGAAAATGCCAAAATTGAAGGAATTTTTCATGCAAATCAAATTTATTACCTGTACATAGTGCACGAAAATTCTCAGCAGTCTTCGGAGCTACATCATAAAAGAGCTGAGAGCAAAACATGACCAATCATTAGGTCGAATATAGCAAACAGTAACGCATGCATCTATCGTATAAAAATAAAAATGTATAAAGAAGAATAAGTACCTCAAAAACCATCCTTTCAACAGGATCCCCATCTATGGACACATCCATAAACACCAGGGGATTTTTCTTCTTTGCCATTGTCTTACCAAACTTCAAACCAACATAACCACTGATCTGAAGTAACAAACCATCATTACACAAACACACAACCATTCATCAATAAGCAAACAAACACCAATTCTAGTTACACAATGGAACTACCCTTTCATCATTGCACTTTCAATCATTAACAAGACAAGTTATCCAAAATATACATGAATTCACGTTTAACTTCACAGAGTAAATATACAGTGGACCCTAATGAAACAAGGTAACAGCAAATAACAGACACCCATACCCAAAGTAAGTGCAGAAACAAATTATGGGTTGCATTACTCTATAACGAATTTACTATAACCATCAATCGAACGAAGAAACCCAGATCGGCAAGAGGCAAAGCAAGGATTGACTATAAAATCAACTAAATTGGAATAAAGAGCATGAAAAGACAGTAGATTAAGGTGGAACCCTAAAACCCTTGCTAGAATCCACAAAGCATAGGGATGGAATGAAACGCAATGTAGGTAGGCATAAAACGACAAGGTTGAGCTCACCTGAGCCACTGAAAGGAAAGGTATTAATCCAAATGAACAAAACCTCGGTCTTTATTATATACAAAGGAGCTGAGCATAGCTGCTTCCTCTGGAGCGTGAAGTTACTACACTGTCCCTGCTCCTCAATTTAATTTAACTTAATTGAGGAAAATAATAATTTAATTAATTTTTAAAAATCAATTTAGTTTAAAATATAATTTTAATTTGATTTGAATTAAATTGATATTTAGTTTTTTGTTTTTTACATATATATAAATTTAGTAAAGTATAAAAATTTAATTTCACTAAAATATATTCTTAAAATTATCCATCAAAATACAGAAAATGTAAGTCCAAATAAATTCATCAAAACTCAAATCTAAATTCTAAATTAATTGTCAGTTCCATATTACATGTCTGTATTTAAGCGAGTGAACTAAATTTAATCTAAGATATAATAAGAAAGTTTGTGAAAAAATAATAAAGAATAGATTCTTTCATATTAAAAATTTATGTGAATTTGCATTAAATATATGGGATCTAATCTTAATTTGTTAATATTAATGGAGAAAAAAATTGATACAAAATTTTATATGATCCTTTAATATGAAATTTTAACATGAAATGATCAATTCCCAAAAAAATAAAAAAATATCCTTTGCACTTGATTGTTAGCTTCTCCAAGAACATGGGCCACCTAAACTCATTCATGAAGAAATTTGGGGAATCGACTTGTGAATGTGGATTTAGGTATGTCTAGGTAAAGCATCGTTTCTTCTATATAAAGCATCCCCCGGACTAACAAGCACTCAAGAAAGGCACAAATTTTTTTATTTTTTTTTGGAAATATTAATTCTATTGTTCATCGTTTCGCGACTAATCTAATTCAGAGTGAGTCTAGAATTAAGGTTTTAAATCTCTTTCAAAGATGATACTAGGGAAGATCGAATATATACTCTCATCCTTACCTGCTGAGCTCCCATATACTAACTGAACTACCGTCATTTATTATAAAGGCACAATTTTGTATGTATCTTGGATGCAAGAAAGCCTTCTAGGTTCTAAAAGCCACTTTTGACATCTTTATTCATTCTTACTCGACCAGACAAGGAGAACCCCTAGTCCTATACTACCTAGTGAAAATACAAATATATGCAACTAAAATCTTATCTTCAACTTTTGAATTAGTTTATGAAATTTACAAATTTAATTCTAATATACAAATATACTTTGATAATATCTTTTCATATCAGTAAAAATGACAAGTAGTTAACATCAAACTCTTATTTATTACATAAAAGTAAAGTCATGAATAATCTATATTTGTTTCCCATCATTTATTTGTGCAGAACATATGAACGGATTCATAGTCATAGAAACACCTTACTGTATACTATACGTCTACATATACTAAAATTATTTGATGTACACACTTGTTCTCATATTAAAATGAAAAGCATACTTAGCACCTCTCACGTATCTTAAAATTCTCCCAAGTAACAATATATTAAATCAAAGGCTCGGAACCCATATATAATATATTTCGATTCAATAGACTCACGCTCAATAACAGACCCAAAATACGCTTATTATGGTTTACGTAGGCTAAGCAACTTGACATCATCAACCACAGGCCCACACAGCGAAGAGAAGTCATCGCTCCTCATGGTGTAGAATGTGCTAAGGAACATAACACGTGTTCTTGGGCCAACAGCCACAAACTTAAGGGCTGCACGTTTAAACCCACCTTTGCCTTTGGACTCATAAGGCACTTTTATAGTGTCTTTGCCTGCAAATGCTTCCACAATCATAGACCCTTCACAGGAATTGCTAGCATCTCCCACAGCAAATGAGAGTACGTAGGTTTTGCCAGGAATGGTTCTAGCCACTTGTGCTATGGCACTTTCTTTACCTGCTACAAGCTCCACAGCTCTTGTGCCTTCTGGGACTGAGAAATGCTCAGAATCTATGTACCTCACTGCCTTTAGGGACTCCACCATCCATCCTGGTAGGGGAGAGTGGTCATCCTCAATGTTGGGTGGGATTAGCACACCCCAAGTTGTGTTGGGGAACACATATGGTCCTTCTTCAAAACCACCATTCTTTAATAGGTTCTCTGAGAAATATGAGATATATATTAGTACAACATATAGATGAATAGTCAATTTATTATAGTGAAATGGCTATGAAATTCTCAATTGATAGAAGAAAGTTAAAAGGTACATTGTACATAAATAGTCACCCAAGTGAAGAAACACTGTGGATTGTGAACTTTCATTGCTTGTATGGTCCCATATAGGCGTTTAAGTTTCCTATATATATTGACAGGCATTTAATTTTCTGTAGATTTTATTTTTATTTTTATCTTTAAAGGGAAGCAATGTTCTGTGAAACTGGAACCCTTTTCTTCTCCTAGCTAGTTAAGTAAGTACTGAACACTGAACTGATTCCCATACCACACAAGCAATAAAGTAATAAGAAAACAACTGTTCCACTCTCATGTCAGGCAGCATTTGAATTTGAATTAAGGAAAGTGCTACCAACGCATTTTTTTAATACATTTTTTTTTTTTGGATAGTTAATACATTTTTATAAGAGATTAGTGTTTATCATATTATAGAAGATAATTTTATCTCCTATATACACATAAAAATGTGTGGGGCACATGCGAGCTCATGTAAGAAGAAGAGAAAAAAAAAAAAAAAAAAACATAGGTCCCACAAACTTTTATATATGTATAGGAAATAAAATTATCTCTTGCAACATTATAAACATTAATCATTTTTTATAATCAATTGATGTTTTATACTTGTTTTGAAAATTATATTTTTCTATTTAAAACTAATAATATTGATACCATTTTGTTTAAATCTCTGAAGACGTTCGTTATAGCTCCAAAAAAGTTTCATAGGGATAGAATGCATAATTGCTTCTCATAAATGTGATCATAACATCCTACCAACCTATCTCTATGGCGAACTATGAACATAGGACCACAGCCAAAGGATTTATTGCCCGACATCTAAGCATAACATGTCAATATGTATTTAACTAGTTGCCTTTATAAGTATTAATCCAGATTCCTTTTTCTTGTGTTGTTAGTTTTTGTTCTTATATGGTTATGATTAAGCTCTCTAACTCAGCTATTCAGCAATGGTATTAAGGAATATTTCATCTAATCAAAGAGAAGAGATATATATATATATATATATATATATATATATATATATATATATATATATATAAACTTACTGTTAGTTGGTCTAGGAGGGTAGAGAGTTCTGAGTGCAACAGAATCAATGAGGGGGCCACAAGCTGGATCCTCCTCCACTCCAGGGTTATGGATAACCATTTCAACCACATTGTATAATGCTTTGAATCCATAAGCAATGGGATCCCAACCACTGCTTGTGTACAATGTTTGTATTGGGATCACTCCTGAATCTGGAGCCACAGACACATTGATTCGTTCCTCTTGTGCACATGTGCGTGCTACCATAAACGTGATAGAATAGTACATTCCCTTTATCACTTTTATATTTTGCTTAATATAAGCCTCATTCCCAAGCCTCACCGCATATGCTCCCTCTGGCACCACAAGCAACATGTCACCCTGTTTCTGCCCTGATTTTATGTACTCAACAAAGCCAGAGATCTCCCACTCCGGTATGGCGTGGCTGCCACCAATCACCACCGTGCCTTTCAGATCAGATGGCTTTGGCCCCAACTCAAAATTCCCATTTGCCACTAGTCCTGCACCAATTAATTTGTTATTGAGACAATAATAGAATTTTGTATTATCATATTGTTATAATGCAATAAATATAATTGATTTATATTTTTTTTTGAAAATATTTCAATTAGTTCATCGCTTCGCGACTGGTCCAACTCGTGACAAGTCTAGTATTAAGACTTTAATTTAAATCTCTCCCAAAAGTAATACTGGAGAAGATCAAACATATGCTCTAACCCCTACTTACTCAGATCACATGCGCCAATGAGATATCTTACAATAAGCAAATAACAAACTATTTTATTTCATTGGACCATATTGCTGCAAATCAGCAACAAAGATTTTTGGAACCGAAATCCAATTGAAAATGCAATCTAATCTAGTCGTCCACAATCTAATACTACCACCAGCACTGTGCCAAAATTGGGCAGTTGCTAGTTATGGTAAAGTGTCTTTCAAAAATAATTTAAATGATGTCATGTGGTGGTGTGCAGCACGTTGTCCACTTCTAATAAGCATACCAAGCCCATGTGAATTTCCAGAGCATCCTGCATGCATTATGCATAGCCTAGGAAAGTGGTCCCCAAAATATGAAAGTTGTGCAGACACTCATATCACCCTCATAGGACACTAACCCCCCAACATAATTTAATGTCTAAGGAAGAGAAAAGATTCATCCAACCAGAAAGATCAATGAGGGTGCAGATCACATATTCATAAATGATGGAATAACACTAGAACAAATTCACTCACCCCTTGAATTGTTAATTAGTGTTGAATACTTTGGCCTGAGAACTTTAGAGCTCAATATATGAACATGAAGAGCTTCCTTTAGCATATTGATTTGGATATATAAAGGGAGTGTTTAAGGAAAGATGATGAAGATTGAGATGTTGAAGTCTATAAAATTAGATAGCTAGTATTTTATGTGTAATAATTAGAGTACCGTAAGTTGCCCACATATTATATATACACATCTACGTATATATAAATTTGTAGCTTACCGTCCTTAAAGGAGAAGGAGAGATGAAAGGTGGCACACAAGAGCACCGACAGAAACATGAACCTTCCCTTCATGTTGGCTTCAACTTTGGGATAAAGAAATGAGAAAATGGAAGAAAAAAGAGAGAGCAAAGCAATGTAGCAGGGGAGGGTATGGGCACGGCCCTTATATGCATGCTTTCTTACCATAACAGACTTACATTTGAAGTAAAATATCAAATATGCCATTCAATGTTTTGTCTTCACCATTTCAACTTCACTTGGTCGCTGTTGACCACTTTGCCCCTGCGTTCTTTTGCATTAAAATATGAACCGAATATGAAATTTTTTTGGATGTTTTATGAGAGAAAAATTCTGAGGCATTTTGAAACTAAGAAATTTTTCTTGCTTTATTTATGAAAGTTGATAAAAATATATATATATGTAATTAAGATATTACACATCCAATCACACACGTCTCTTTTCTAGTGAAGATTTATGAAAATAATAATAGTACTTGTATGTTCTTTTATGACTTATGTCACTTCACATGATTGTCCTTCACGCCGAGTATAAGCCCGAAATCACTTGCGTAATTCTAAAAGGCGAAAGCATTCCGATCACTTGATTGTTGATTAAGTAAAATAATATTATTATTTACCAAAAATTTAATTAATAATAATTAAAAAAAAGAGTTTATCGATTGCTATAAGTCTATATAACTCGGTGCTATTTTTCTTCCTAAAAAAAGTGTAACTACTTTTGAATCCTGCTCAATCCCGATAAAGAATCTCCCTAAATTGTTTTGCAAGCCTTTAAATCTCCCCTTATAAATAAATTTTTTATTTAAAATCTATAAAAGAGGGTTTTAATGTAAGAGCCTTCTGATTTTAATTCTGTATATGTAAAAGTATTGTACATCAGGCGTTAATCGACGGTAAGTCTCTGACAGAAATTTTGAATAAGAGTTTATTCGGATTCATTTACTTTATTTTTTATTTTTAGTTGATATACTTTTATTATTAATTATAAAAAAAAGTCACTTTATTTTTTATTTTTAAGAATATGTAAAAAATGGTGAAAACAAGATTATACTTTTTCCATATTTGTGCTTTTGTAAGTTGTGTCCTTTTTCTGTGCTTCTCCTCCTATAGGAATTAGTTTAGTCTATTTAATTGATTGTGCAGCTGTCAATAGACTTAGGATTGTTGTAAATAGGGGTGAAACTAGATCGGACCGGTCTACAGGGGCCTACGACTCGGTCTACGTCAGGTCAAACTTGACCTAGTATATTTTGTAAAATAGGTCGAGCTTGGACCTTGAAAAAGCTTGTTTAATAAATAGGCCGTAAGCCCACTTTAACAAAGCCTGGCCTATAAGCCTACAGGCCGTCCTATATTGTACTTTTTATTTTAAATAAAATAAAATAGAATAAGTATGCCTTGAAGAAAAAATAAAATATATAAATTTAATCAATTACAATTATTTATAACTTAATTATATTCGATTATATTTTACTAAAAATCTGACTTTATGGCAAAAAAAATTAAAATAATGTATTTAAATTAAATAATTACACATTTAATGTTGTTTTGTAAAAAATTACACATCTACTGCACAATGTGACGCCACTTTTGGGCGTCACATGTGTGCTCTATATATTTCTCCACCCCCTCCATTCAATTCACACCTCTTCTCTCACTCTTCATATCTATCTTCTCCACCAACATTCCTTTATCTTTATTTTAGTATTTGAATTTTAGTTCTAATTCTATTTAAATATGAGCTCAAATCCTGATTTTGTTCGTGTTGTGTTATATTACAATGGTAGGAAGGTAAAAGGTCGACGAAGTGTCATATTCGAAGGTGAAAAAAGGCCGACATGTATCCAACGCAACACAACCATTGGCGAACTGCATCAGAGAATTCGGTAGAAGTTAAGTCTTCAAGACAACCAATGTATCACTGAGATCACGACAAGGGTGTGGCATAATCGGGACAGGCTCAGCAGCAACTCTCTCACGTCTACGTCCTAATCCGCGTCCCTCCCGTCTATTACAAGGAACATCCACGATCAACTGAGGATCAGGCTGTGTCTGCACGAGGGGTGTCTCAGGTCCAGGCTCATCAACTCGTGAACTCTCATGAAACATCCCAATAATCCGGCCTATCTCCTCGTGGATATATTGTAGTCCAAATCGAGGAAACTCCTCCGCCGTTGTTGCATGATAAAGCATTTCAAGACCGTCAATCTGTATATTACGAAAAAATGTTAGAAATGTGAAACAAATGTAAAATAAGTACAAAACTCACCATGCGCCCTATCTTTGCTGCCCTCCGAGATATGTAGCGCTTTCTCCTCTCTCTGTACCACTCCATGTACGCATGATTAGGTGACATCAAACCATATAATGGAGGTGGCAGTACAATATGCTGAATCCTGGTATTCCATCGATCAATGTGAGCCCTCAGCTTACGTCTCCAGTTCTCTTCAACCTTCCCCCGTAGAGTATGATCATGTATTACTTTCAATTTTCTAGATTTATCCGGGATGGGTTGATCAAGACCGAACTGTCGCATGCACCTATCCGGTTGACATGCCTCTACTGTGTGGAAGTAGATAATAGGTGTGGCAGCAAGCCACAGATACTGCTGCTCTGGAGTCACGTCAAGCCACTCATATTCTATATATGGCTGCCACACCACCTACAAACAAAATGTGAAACAATATATAGAGTTACAAAAAAAAATAAACCCATAGAGAAATAACAACATCGTAAGTATCCAACACCAAACCTCATCTCTACAGAGTGTGTCCAATGTTGCCCGATAATGGGTGACCTCATGAGGTTTAAACTTTTGTACAGCATTAAACCTGTCAATCAGAAACATTATCAATCATAATCAAGAAGTATACAGTTAGTATATACATTAATAACCATACATTATCGAAATCAAATGAAGTAAATAAATCATACCGGCATCCATAATGTGTGCCCGGCTCTGGATGAGGAGGAAGGGGTGGAGCAATGGGTAGGAATCGTATCCATGCCCAAATTTGAAGGAGAATATGGCAACCACCCATGTCGCTTCGACGGGCATCTGTCACTTCACACAAATTCCTGAACAAGTGTGTCAAAACTGCAGATCCCCAGCTGAATCGGCCAATGTCCTCAAATCCTCCACCTAGCAACGGGACAAGCTGGCAACCAAAATTGCTACCTCCAGACTTGTCCGCCAGCAACCAAGTCCCCAACATTCGGGCAATGTGGGCTTTTGTGAAGTAGATCTCGGCAGCATGATTCCCCTCATGATCAGTCCACCGGGTATAATGCCGATCCAAGAATGAGATGCGGAGGTCGCCGGAATGATGGAACTCACCGGCCTCTGGAACATGTCCAAAAACAACAGCACAAGCAGCGTGCCAATCCTCAGAGGCCGATCCGATGACGACAGTACCGTCGGTCGGCAAGCCCAATATGCCTGCCATATCTTGTAAGGTGATCGTCATCTCACCTTGGGTCATGTGAAAGGTATGTGTCTCTGGTCTCCACCTCTCGACCAGAGCACTAATTAAAAATGTATCTATATGTGATAAATTACACAGTTATCACGTGTTAACGAATTTTATTAAATAATTACATAAATACAAAACGACATAAATAACATACCTGGATATGTTGCATTTTGGCAACATGTATGAAACCCGCCTGTCTGAGGTACTCTTCCACAACCTGTGGAATAGCACCGGTAGGTGGGCCCCCTTGTGGCTTCCCACGCCTGGTCTTAATTTTTCTTACATGCTCTGTATTCCACACTCGCTGTGAAATATGACTTTTCTGCGTCCTCTTACGAAGGACCTCCCACCTGTACGGCCCAGGTATGATCCACATGCTGGGATCGGTGGGCTCTACATCCGAATCAGATCCCGCAGAAGATGATGACTCAGTCATTATCCTCAACTATATAATATAAAACATTTAAATTAATCACATGTAATGCCCCATTTTATTTACAATGGGAGAGACGCCTCATTGGGGCGTCACATGTGACGCCCAAAGGGGGCGTCTCATTGTGCAACAGATGTGTAATTTTTAACAAAAAGCATTAAATGCGTAATTATTTAAATTAATTACATTAAATTAATTTTTTTGCTCTGACTTTATTTCTTATGTAGGAGGAACCAACATCTCAACATGTTAGATTGTGTATATGAATATATTAAAATATTCTGGAAGAGGTTATACTTACTACAAGCATCATGATGTGTTTATTGGATTCATGTAGTTATTTTAATTTACATGGTATGGATTTGTTTGTTGGATCTGATGAAATATATGTTATTTAATTTCAGCATTTTGCCTTTGAAAGTGACTTTAATGTAGATTGTGATAAGTTTTATTGTGATTCATGATTCGGTTTGGACGTTGAAATTATTATTTTTGGTTTAGCAACATAATTTGAATATTTTGTGAAGTTGATTCATGGTTCTGTTGGAAGTTAAAAATTAACAGGCTAACGGGCTAGGTCAGGCCATTTATTTTTTTTATAAACGGGCCAAGTCAGGCTAACACTCAGACTCTTACTAGGCTTGGGCCAGGCCAAGTTGAATTTTTGTGACATAGACTTAGGCTTTTCAGGGCAAAGCTTGGCCGAGCCCAGCCTACTTTCACCCCTAGTTGTAAACCATTCATTTGTTTTTGCTGTTTCCTTTTTGGGCTCTGTCCTTTTTTCTTAAAAAAATAAAAAAATAAATCAAAATACTCTTGATTTTTTTATTGGAAGAATTATATATATATATATATATATATATATATATATATATATATAGAGAGAGAGAGAGAGAAAGAGATAGAGATAGAGAGGCAGGATCCTTTGACACCAGTGTCAATTTTCAAATTTGACACCTCAGCTGAAAGCCGTTAGATAAAAAAAGATCAACGACTCTGATTTGTAAGCATGTGACACTATTGATCTTTTTTGATCTAACGGCTCTCAGATGAGGTGTCAAACTTCAAATTTGACACTGTTGTCAAAGGATCCTACCTCATATATATATATATATATATATATATATATATATATATATATATATAG